ATTGTTTTGACCCCTAAAATCTCCTAAACCCTCAAATTTAAACCATAATACAACATAATTAATCCAAACATAAATGATATAATGAGTAAATAATTTTGAAAAAATGACATTTTTTGAAACGATTTCGAAAATATGACATTTTTGAAAAGTAGTGCCATTTTTCAAAATTTCTCTATATTATTTGGGAAGTGATTTTGGTGAAAATGATTACGTGTCAACAAATTTATTTTTGGCCCATTAACTATTTATTAAAAAAAATTTTGGCCCATTAACTATCTATTTAAAACGGAAAACAAAAAAACTACCTCCAAGAATCGAACCAGAGATCTGCAAACTCAAAGAAATGACGTCAACCAACTGAGCTACATACAACTTTTGCACAGTAAATGGCTCCTAAATTTAATAAAATCTTCTCCGGCCCCAAGCACATGCTTTACTAGCTTGTAGTCAGGGCCGGCTCTGCGTGTCAAATGTACAATCACTTTCACCAAAAGAATTATGATATGACTTTAAAAATGATGACATGGCAAAAAATTATTAAAAATAAAATTAATCATAACAAATTCTCTTTGGAAATGTTCCATAATTACATTTGTATTTATTTCCTTAAATTTTTAGCTTAAACTAACAAGAACACTATATTCCATACATAAATACTTACCAAGTTTTGTGAATAAACTAAAAAAACTAATTATTTTAATAACCAAATACAAATCTTTTAATTATTACTTTTTCTTGCATAATGAAATTTGATTAAAAAACCCTTCAAATGAGATTACAAAGAAAACCCAAAAGATAAAGATGGTAAAAAGTAAAAAATGTAGGAGAAGAAGAAAAAAAAATGAAAATCTATATCAAACAACTTTTTCGAATTATAAGATACAAAATATGTTATGTTATAAATTTTATTTACAATTAGGTATAACGTGAAAGAAATATTTTAAAACTCCATTTGTAACACCTTAGATGATGTTTAATTAACGATATTGTACACACACTAAAAACAACATAAATAATAAAATTTAATTGGTAAAATGACGTTAGTTTAGTGGCATTTGTACAAAAGTATTGTGAATTCAAATGGTCACAAAATATTAAGTAATTTTCTAAAATATCAAATAATTTGATACAAAGAGAGTATGAGATAATAAACATGTACCTAATAAAATTTTCTCTATATATCAAAATTATTTTTATCATCTTATGCATAATATCAAATTGTTTTAAAACAGAATTTTTTTTAAAATATCAAAAAATGATTAATACCATTTTACGCACAATAACAAATTATTTAAAAATAATTAAATTACTATCTTCGCGTATAACACGAGAAATCACTTAGTTGGTTACATAAAAAGCATTACAATCTTGATTTCTAATGCTAACGTACACCAATCAAAGCAAAATATGTTAAACATAAATTAAACATAAATATAGGCCACTTTTTGTATGCACATTTGCAAAAAGGCCACTTAAAAGTGTCCATTTACAATAATGCCACTAATTATAGATTTATAAAGCCTATATCTTAAAATTCTAAGCCCTAAAAAATGTTTTGACCCCTAAAACCCCCTAAACACTCAAAACGAAACCCCAATCAATGACCATAGTTAACCCAAACATAAATTATATCACGAAAAAATAATTTTGGAAAAGTGATATTTTTGCAAAGATTTTGAAAATGTGACATTTTTGTAAAGTGACACTTTTAAAATTTTTTTTTTTTTTATTATGATTGTTCTTGCAAACCTGTATTAAATTCGTTAGGTAACGTACATTGATTGCTTACTGATAATTCATGATATTAAATTGTTCAAACTCCAAAACCATAAAATTAACATACAAATAAAAAAACATTGTGTGTCCCTAACAAAAATTAACAAATTGAATAATTTGTTACATAGATATATAACGTATGAAGTAAGACTACGAAATCGTGTTAAGATGAAATTGTCTTTTCGAGAAAGAACGAAAAAATGCAAAATGTTAGAGTAATTAATCATGGGGACGTGATTTGTAATGGTTTGATTTGTAGCACAGATTGGATGGTTAATAATGAAAAACTAAAAGAATGGCCCGATTGATATGTACATTTCATCATAACTATATTGATAACACTTCCAAATAAATTCATATGGTCCATGATGCTAAGTAAGAAATTAACTGATATAGGAATAGCGACATTTTCTTATTGGATTAACGTTGATAAACTTAGTGGTACTTACTTTCTAAA